TGGGACGGGGAGTCGTCTTCTTCCTCTATTTTCTGGTTCTGCTCGGGTTCAGGTTCAGGCTGATTTTTGTTCCGAAGATATTCATGTAGCACTTCTGGCAAATAAATGCTTGTTCCTTTGCTGACATCAATCCTTGTTGCACCAGCGTATCTAGGAGCCATTTATATTGTGGACTATTTACATTGCGTGCACTTCTGTTCGTATTGCCACTACGTTTCTTGAAGTATACTTCTCCAACACATTTACCCTCCATCTTGAAACAATAACGATTGGTTTATGAAGCGTCGATAAAGTAACAAAATAGCAAGCCACCGATGATTGCTGTAAACAGCTAATACTTAGTAGTTTGGTGCAATTATGCGAAAATGTGTGATCAATAACGAACAACTAATTACATAAAATAACAAGACAAATTAATAAATCACATTCAATACCCCCAAGAAGCGCAGAATTGATTGATTACTTAGAGCAAAATAAAGTATTTCATATGGATAATCTATCTATTCGATGTGGCGTGGTCGGCAGGCACAAAGAAAGTGAGACAAGTCAGGGTCCCAACCCTGACAGAGCTACAACGCTTTGGAGATGGGTCAATAAAACAAGGAAATTGAGACAAGAATAGCTAGCGTCGAGTGAATGATTTCGTAAACGTATAGACAAAGACAAGAAGATACGGATAAATGTACAAGGCCACACGATCAGAAAATTCAGAAGAGGACCGCTTGAGATAGAACAGTATTCATGTATCAGGGTGTCCACAGTGTAAATCTTTATATCGATACTATTTATTTAGTCGTTACACATCATAAATCTGTCATGAAAATATCCGCTCTGATATTCAATATAAAAGTTTGTATATAATAAGCTATGAAATAGGGTTTCAGACAAGGTTGTTACTCATTTCCCCTTTTCAATTTACAACCACATTCAGGCGGCGATATGAGAACGTTCCACCACATGGAATTTGCTGATTTTTGGTACACATATGAAACAAGTAAAGCTCTATCCGATTTTCTGATGGAAATTTGCATCCAAAACTATATAACGGGAGAAAATTGCAAATTTATGGCATTTTTCTTCATAATTGTGTCTCTGCAAGTGCATTTTCATCCGAGAATATTTTGTTTTTTTACGTTTTATGAATAAACACGATGTTTTGGAAATATTTATCAAAAGAAATTGATACTATGTTGCGAATTACAATTTCGAGATAAACTTCTTTTATCTACGAACTTATGTCTTTGATGCTGAAATTGACAACTTTATAAAAATACATTTTCACTGAAATTATGAAATCTGGGTGTCGGAAAGGTGTAAAATTATTTTTCGGAAAAGAAAAAAACAGTAGTTGAGCTAGATAAGAAATTATACGGGGGCAGGCTCCTATGGCCGCCTTCCTATTTACTTGTCTGAAACTAATTCCAGATATCCATAATTAAGACAATAGTACTGAATGATGTTACCTGCAAGATAACGAAGACATTTTTTAATTTATTACTGATTTTGTTATTGTCCTTTTTGCAGTATGGACTGTCTGATTGACAGGTATTTGTTTACATTATTGTATAGATTGGAAAGAATTGATATATATATCTCCCACATTTATAGACGGAATGGAGATAAAACTTCATCATTTCGACATAACTAGGTGGCGTGATAATTCAATAGATCGATGTTGTCGAGATATTGTAAAAAAAATAATCGCGTTTCACGCTTTTGAGGCACGGAGAGGAAGAATAGTTGTCTTATTTAAACTGAAATCAGAAATAACTATGAACTTCACTTCAAAACGTAAGAATTGAAAAAAATGATCAAATAAAAACACTTCACATAATTAAACAATGCAATTGCGGAAATGTAATTACTATTATTAACACACACTGATTATAATCAGATGTTAGCTTGAATAGATAAGAACATTATGATGGGGTTCCAAATAGTATTTTGTTGGAGTAACAATAACGAAACCAAACACAAAGCCTATTAGATGGCATATATTAGATTTACATTATTGTAATATGATCGGTATAACTTTCTTCTTTTTATTTAAATTTCACTGTTTTTCATATCATTTAATTAAAGTCGATGAAGACAAGATCAACAAGAAGCGAAATCAAAAGTGAAATGGGTGTACATTCATTACAGTCAAAACACTGAACTTGTTTTGATAAAAGAAACGTAAAAATTAAGATAGGCAAAACAAGAAGTTAAATATCCTAAAATCATCTATCTTTAAATAGATGTATAAATGTTACATGTATTTTATATTTGTCTATGACGGATTCTGTTTCAAGTTTATTTCGACCTTGTATATAAACATACATTATGCAATATAATTCGCAGACTTAAAACTAGAATGCTTTGATTATTGATTAACTAACAAAACGTAATTACCGAGTATTACACAATACACACTCAGCCCTGTCGTAAGTTGTACATAAAACCTGTTCCTATAGTAAAATGATATCAGGGTGCAATAAGTTTCGATATTGATATATTTATATTTGCTGTATTTAGAGAGGTATAAAATGTATAAGAATTTCCCTAAATGTATATATTTGTATTTGTCGTATTTAGAAAGGTGTCAAATGTATAAGAATTTCCCTAAATGGATTTAACTGTTAAATTCCAGTTGAAAAGTTCTGAAGACGATGGTTGTCCAATATGCCATTAAAGATATTGAATGGTGTCATTTGTGTCTTGCGAGAGGTATTTTTTATGACTATAGACAGTTGTTTTTGTTCTGGTTACAGTATCAATTATGTTAGCTTAGATGCTATCTAGTAATATCCATGTATAATAACTGATTTAGTAGCACCAGTCCTTCGTAAACTTTATGTCGAACGTTGGCAACTTTAAGTACAACGAATTTACTACCTTTCTAAGAAATATGGAATCTGGGATAAGTCTTATTAAGGTACTGTGTATTAAATAGGTTAAACTAATGGTATATCGATTAAAAAACCCAAATAACTCTTCGTCAAATCTCCTGTTTCTATCGGTGTTTTTTTTTCCTCTCTGCAAGGTCGGTCATAGTAGTGACCTCATTGAAACACAACAAAGAAATATGTTTGATAGATTGCCCATGTTCAACACGACGGGCGCCATCGATAACGCAAAATACTATTCCTTAACACCTGGTTGTACATTTAGATATACCTCGCGGATGAGGTTACAATCGAACCCGTGTAATCTGTTATTCTAAGAACACTAAATCAGTAGTTGTTTTATAGCATCACTCTGTATCCTGTAACATATATAATGCTATTCGATACGACGTGCACCATATTTTGCTATGAATAAAGCGTCTATTGAAGTGGTTAATAACTAATAGCTATTAAAGCTATTTTGTAAAAGCACGCCAGATTACCACAATTTTAGTCATGCTATTTCACACAATTTCGAAAACCCGTTTTAAAAAAAGACAGGTCTGCGATCAGTGTATTTATAGTGTTTATCAGTGAGGTTATTTACTGTAACTACCTTTTGTGCTTACATGTAGTATGACAAATTAGTTATATAGTTATAGCTATATCTATGACTCCTTTTGTAAAACAGTTCACCGCGTCGACATACCATATGTTTCCTGCTTATTCATTGCCAAACAAAAAACGTAAATCGATCTTCACTTAGATAAATGTGCTGTTAGGTGTAACGAACGATGGAGATTTTCAGTCTAACATGATATAACAAAATGGTCGAACGGAATGACTTATCTGGGTGACTTCTTAGTTTAGATATTATCAATGAATTACGTCATTTGTAACATTTTACTAGGACTTCGAATTTATTATAGATTCCTTTCATTTTCTGTGACTGTTTGATTTGAAATAATTTGTATTCTATATTTACAACTTGGAAGCGGACATGACAATATACACGTGCCTTTTTCACTGTTTAAATACTTTTGTTTATTTATCTTAATTCAACACGTTATTTATTCACAAACCATTATTTCAATTCTAAAATCCATTTGTTTTATTTTACAATTTGCTATATTTGCTAATTTCTAAGACCCGCGACTGATGACAACAAAAGAGTTTGGTCAAAAATTATCCTGGTTCTTGACTGTTCGATAAACATTAATCAGTCATTTAAACATACATGACATGAAACAATCACCTCTAAAATGACTATTATGAACTAAGTTATTAGTTACCGTGATATTGTTGTATTGTAAAATATAGATGTTGTCGACGAATTGTAAAAAATAGTCGGATTTTAATCATTCAGTATCATGTCGAGAATGACCAGAAAACACAAAGTCTCCTTTTAACAAATAAAAAGTACAAACATACAGTTCATTGATAATTGTGTTTATCGTATTCGATGTCGGATTACTCCTTTATGATGTTATTCGTGAACTTTCTACAAAATGTTTTAGAAAACGAGTTAGAATTTACGTATACCTTTTATCTGGTAATTTGCTTATCACAATGACAATGAAAAAAAAAAAAATAATAGAAATATACTCGACGCAATTCACTATATTTAATGGTGACTTGAAGACTTAGGCACTCGATATATCTTAAACAGACGGGAAAAAAATGAAATTATATACAAGGTTAACTGTTGTCTGTGTACTGTTCGGAAACTGTAAAACATCATGCTAAAATGTTATTATTCTTATTATTGATTATGTTTATTTATTGTTTTTGAAGTCTGCGATGGCATATAACAAACTCAATTACGAAAGAGATGTACGTCCATTAAAGACAAAAAATCCTTGTTTTTGATGAGAGACAAAAAGTTTAACGTCACTAAGTGATCTGTTTTGAGTACAGATATACAAAAAAATCATATCTCCAACCATCGAAAATATCTTCATATTTATGATCACAAAAATCCACCTGCATAGTATATTTATTGATTAGTTGTCCTTTGATTTTCTAATGATATGTATTTCTATTTACATGGTACATTCGCACCTGTTTACATTTATCTAGCTGACTTTACTTTTAGAAAACCAAAATTAAATACTTTTGTGTTTCTTTGTTAAGTTTCGATACTAAAGACGATGACGAAATGCAACCCGAATCGGGCTTTACTACGACCACAAGGAACGAGATCCGTTGACACTTTTTTCACGATATTCTGGTAAGTTTATATGCATATATGTAGATAAACATTATATAAGTAATATAACAATATTAGACTGTTGTACGTAGTATTATATCATTGTATGCTATTATCTGGTAAGAATTGTTTACGAAACTGCTTTACATACCAAATTTGAGAAGAAAAGAGAAAAGTAAACAGTTAATATTTGATGGAAAGCTAGTTTAATCGACATCTGCTTCTCTTACGTCCGAACAGGAAAAACGATTCAATGCACTGACCAGGAAGCACCGCTTTGGTCACTAAATCGATCACAGTCATATCGTCACTTGCTGATTCAAATCAAATGATGGTATGATATTTTTATATCACCACTATGGTGATCATCTAAGCCTTGATAAGATTAATGAATTCCTACATTTTACGGACAAGAAATAATTTATACTTAAATATGCTCAACTAAAAAAGACAATACTAAATTAGGCAATCAATAATCTTTGATATTTTGGGAAATCTGTACCAACTTCGGTATCAATTTAAAGGGACAAGTCTACTGTTTACATTACTGTAGAAGAAAAGTCTGTGTCACATTGCCCTTGCCGTCAGTAATTACTGAAAGTAGGATACTAGTGAAAAAAGTCAAAATGACATATTAGTACCTGGTGTGGGCACCTCTTCCTTATATGCCTGTCCAGCTCATTCTACAGATGCTCTATAGGAGACATGCGGGGGCTATATGGCGGCCATTCCATGAACGACATGGAGGTTTGGATCGAGAACCATTAAAAGGGATTTTCATGGGAGATGCCTTCCTAAACACAGAAGCCCAAACGTATCTATCACGTTCGGGAAACTCGTATAGAGACGGTTGATTGTACAAGTGGCAACGCCAAATTGTCCTGTGACAGCAATTTGACAATGACCATCCATGAACATTGCAATTCCTGATTTGTAGAAGTTCTCAAAGTCAGACAATGACATTGTCAGGACTGATTTTAGAGTAGATTGTCGAGTAGTGAGACCATTATTGATGTAAAACCTGACCTAATATTCCATTACTTCCTTACAGCTACGGTGTACTGCAGGGGAGAACTTCCGTTTGCATTTCTTTTTGTTGAATAAATATATATATATATATATATAATATAACGGCATCGGTATCAAAAGTGATAAAGGAGTCTTTATATATAGCGTATAGTAAGACTGGATATCGACAACAATAACATATACTTACTTTTCTATATAGGACTAGTTCTAGTTACATTCGCTTCGTGTTAATATTCTAGAGCCCCTTTCCCTGTAACTTCCTTCAGAATACAAAGCCTGGTAGTTTTGATGATTTCCTCTGTTAAATGTTTTTGAATTGACACATCTGACATCAAGTGACAATTATGTTTCGATTCTTTATCTATATATATATATAACGACTCCTACTCCGTAATTATATCTATCGCGCCGATGTATATCTACAATGTGAACATACCGTTTCTAAGGAAACGTTCGTCGTTACACGACCGATTTGCTCTCAATCCATCACGGAAAGAAGTAAGTTCCCAACATCGCCCCTTGTTAACATGTGTAGCCATGTTAACACGATGCACATAAATCACGTAGATGACGCCATTACACATAAAAACATGTCATCACGTTAACAGCTTCTTCAGGTGAGAATTGACACGAGGCAACTGAGACACAACTCTAAGTCCTCCATCCTCCGACTCTTACATTCATATCTGGACACATTGATGGTAGACTGTCTAGTGAGAATCATCACTGTGGAGCCAATATAGCATTCATGAACGTAGGTTTTCTGTTTTGCCACCTTACGACCGTCAAAGGGGCGAAATCCCAACGTCGAAACCAGACATCCGTAATGCTTATAATTTAGAACAACTTCCAACTAGCAACCACCAAATACCACGTAAAACACTATACAAAATACTTACACTATAGACTTACAAGTATATATGTTTGTATATATATATATATATACATATATATATATAGATATATAATATCTACCACATGTACACAATATTATAAGAATACAGTGTGCATGTATCGACCCTAGTATAAATCAAGTTACAACAAAATACGTTCTGTTGTATTTGTACATACGGTAATTGACGCTCTATTGGAGTATACTATAAACACACATACTAAATTATGAGTTAAGCTAACAAGTATTTCTATACATGTACTACTCTATATCTAGTTTAAAACAAGTGAGACAGTTATCAAATGTTACATGCTGTGCAATCATGACCAAGTAAAAAATGTACTCACGCAATATACACAAACATAGGTATTGTACACATGAATGGAGCGCACTTGTATCTAGCCAAGCTTAAACAGAGCATGCCCACTGTATACAATATGTAGTTAGAGAATCAAATTAAAGAACAGATGAAAACGACCAAATACTCGTTTTCTAGGTTTTTGATCCGATAAAGGGGACTCATCTGACTGCTGACTGTGTGTCCGATATCTATCAGGACGTGTCAAACGTATGTATTATCGAAAAGGGATATTCTTATTTGTCTTTAGGTTGTATTGAGCAGAACTGACATTGAAAATAATAAGGATGAAGTTTCACAGTGATACAAATTCAGAACCATTGTAGAGACGGCCACAGAGCTGACTTTAGGGAATGACGACACACGCACGAGTTCGTAGAATTTTTTCAACCGATTACGTAATTTGTGATAACTTATCTTTTATCTTAGTAGATTGACGTGTGAAGTTACACAACTTAGCAAAATTGAACTTGCTTTATAAATTACTAGAAAACATCTTGATATATGTATATCAATTAGGCTTTAATTCTGTGCAGGTCACCGAGTTATATCACTGAACAGTAGATGCATCATAATAAGAGACTGAAAAAATGGCGAACATAAAAGAGGTGAGTGATTAACTGTATCTAATCGAGCTTCATTTCCATTCTTGTTTGTGGTTTCTGTATTATCTAGGAATTTCAATAATCATAACAATGATATTTGCGTCCAGGTTACTCTCATACATATACATATATATGGAATATTAAACTCTTATTATGTATAAAAATCATTCAAAATTATACATAAACGCTGAAAACTAGTTAATTTTGAAAATACACAGGAATCCATGTATCATCAAATTTATAATTTAATCTAAAATTAGCTCCAATATCAATTGCATGTCAGAATAAAGATATCGCATTTACATATTTGTTTAAGTTCACTCACTGCCAGCTTGCCCTGACTAATTTTTGACTTGACATATCCATGACAATGTCATATACCTCCCCACTAGTTAAAACTGATAATGTTGGCAACGACAAGTCAAGTATTGGATGTATAAGTCTTTGTATCAAAATGTATCACACAGCTGATTTTCTCTTTTAACGATATAATATGCACATATGCTTTTTTCGAACCATGTCATTGAGCACATTCATTCACACGTGTGTTTCGGGTACACTGCTACTGCCGGGTACTCACCAAGAAAAATAAAGTTAGTACAAATAAGATTCATAACAAAATAGTTTTTGTTTCATGTGGGCCATCCCCAGAATCCTTATGACATCATTGGTGCCTGCTTAGTTTTCAAGATCAAATGATTTATGGCAGTCTCACCAGTCAAGAAACACACATGCACACCATGGTCAGCTAATATCTGAATTAGATTTCAAAATGAAGACATTTCCTAAAGCCAAATTTAATCTCAATGATAAAAAGTAGGTCATGAGTGTGAGAAAAAATTCGAATGGTTCCTAAAACGTATTAAAGTTTTTGCCATTAGTGCAGCCGCAAATCAATCACAGAATGACAGAATGTACAGAGATGACAAATATCAGGATATGGACATATTCCATTTGAAACAATATAAAGTTGCATTCTCACGTAACAGACTCATATTTCGTTTACGTATTTTCTCCACAAAATCTGTTGTTTTTTTTTCATAGGATTGTTCATGTTTTCCTCATTTTTTTCTCGACTTTGTTTTTTGTTTTTAAAGTATCATCAAATGTAGGATTTCTTGATCTTTTCGCTTTTCGAGACTCGTGCATTTCCTGCAAAACGAAATCTAAGGAATAAATACTTCGGCTTATTGTGCAATTTGAAATTGTTGTATCCAGAGTGTCTAAAATTTTCATGGCAGACTTATTACAACATTAAAAAGAGTAAGTTAAGTTTCATTTATTGTTTACTTACAGTCGTTTGTTACTCTATTCAGATTGTATATTCTGTTGCCCTTTTTACAATATCAGACATGTCATCTGTAATTGTTAAAATGCAGGTCATCAAAATATCCAAATATCTCAAGAATATTCAAGCGATTTCTTTCCTTATGCAAGCTGATGCATAATCACTATTTCAATATAAACAAAATGAAATATTACATCATGTGAGGAAATCGCTCTATTACAATAATAAATACATTTCTGTCAAATCTAAATTGCAATCCATATTACCATTGATATTTGCTCTCTCTATATTTATGTTAGTGTTACCATATTGTACACTGAACGAAGCACAAACATGGATATCGGTATTTCACATCAAAGTATTTTGGAACATGCCGTTTTTTTTATTCCTATTTCAACTTTTCAATATATTATAACTCGCCGAGAGTTGAAAATACAAATGTAGCTCGAGCCAATCGAATTATTGAAACAAACTTCTAATCCATGTGAGAATATAAATAATTTTAAAGGCATATACATGTGAATATGGCTTCAGCTTTACAAGTGGCAGCAAGAAGATAATATAAAATTAATCCCGAATATGTTTTTCATAATGATAATTGTTCAGCTTTTTTTTTTTTTTTTTTTTACAAAAGTACCTACGGTATTCAAACTTTGTGATTACCTAATAAATATATCGAGAAACTGAAATTTCACAGTATCGGTAACATTTTGAATAACCACTCGTTAGCTTTACAAATAGTGGTTTGGAAACACCTCAAGATCCATAGCCAAGATCCTATAACAGTTTCGCTAAGCTTATTAATTGCTTTTTTGGTGAGTTTCGCTGATTCTTTAAATATCGCGGTTGTTTTGATATTATTACCGTAGAGATTATATGTTGCTATAGCATGATTTCATTCATTTTAACTGTGGTGATCTAAGCTATTCATGTGTCCATTTCCCGTCAAGTTCTTTTAATTTTGCTTTTGCAGGAGACGTTCTTCGCTGAAAGCATTTACATAACGCATTGGCCAGCTTGTAATAAAGCATCTAAATGAATCAATGCTTACAATAATTTACAGATGTGCGTCACTTTATGATATCCATCCTAATGGACATATGGAAAACATATCTTCATAAATGATGACATTTTTCTTCTGCTTTTTTTAGCTATTCAGACCTCGACAGTTAAAATGTCATCATATTGAATTAAGACGATTGGCTTTACTTTGCTTAGTGTGGTTATTAAAGTAATAGGGAGAAATATTATCTATACGAAATAGTTCGTTTACCATAGAATGGACACCATGAAATTTCCGTGTTACAGCGCGTTATTCAGAGTTGAACCAGCTCGTGTTAAGTCTATTTACTCGGGCCCATATTAGGAAATTGCAGCATATATATGCTATGCATCTGTCCCTGATTTGCATCATGGCCTTTTGATAAAATAACAATTATCTACCAATTGAGTCTTAAGCATCTTCAAGTAAATACATGCAACGCAACGGAATAAGATCGTTTCTTTTTTTGGAAAGCGGAGGTAAATGCCAGGTTTTGAGGAACTATACTGGCATCTTGTCGGTAGCCATTCTTTTACCTTCCTTCTTGAATATTTCAAATCCCGAATACCAACGAAATAATAGTAGCACGCGATATAACTCCGCTTGAGATTGTTGTAGCGAACTTACCATGCGACAAAAATGAGTGGATAGTAGAATCTTGTCTACTACCCGGATATCGACGACGTCATTGCACCATTCCAACACTAGATCACACTGGTAACTTAACTAAGGGACATTTACAGTATCAGAATACATATACAAAAATTAATCAACGAATGCAAAAACTAAATTCTACACTCAAACACCATGGAATCTCATATACGTTTTAAGAACACTCCACTCACAAGGAGGCTCACTCGTAAAAAATACAAACTGCGTTCTCTACATATAATGCACCATCATCACGCCATCACGGAGTAATACTATGTGAAGAATTCGTTATATAACTATCACGAAATAGCATTGAACCATAACAAGAAATAAGATAGGGAGAGACATGCAGCTCCATTACATTCACCAAATTTAACAAAAGATATAATATAAATGGAATAACATTATAACAGCTCCAATGATTACTTTGAATAAAACCTGAGTCCATACATCAACTTAACTCTTAATCATATTCTTCACTCTCCCATGAAATAGTCTTCACATTATAAAATGTATTTTTCATTTGAATATTAGAACGACTACGCGAATCCCTAGCAGAAAGGACTTCTATTTACATATATAATAGTCAGATGAGTATGTCTAATTATAACAGACTTTTCTATAACTCTACAGATAGTAAATAAGAATACCCGCTTATTACACAAGTGAATGACATCTTTCCAAAATTTCAAAATTGAGAGTGAAATATAGTAGAATCAAACAATGAATTAAACTGCATCATACAGCTGGTTCGGCCTTCAAGGACTCGTCAGTGATGCTACGGGCCTAAAGTTGTAGGCTCAGGAGGCCTTGAACTGAAACTGAGGAAATAACTCTTCGTTCATCGCTAGACATCCAATTAAACAAAAATAGCAATACATTAGGTCATACACACGCAGACTGAGGAACATGTTTGAATGTTAAGCACAGCAGCGTGTGTTGCTTGAAATCGCTTGAGCTATGAAAAAAATAACTTAGTTTAACAGAAGAAATTCTCTACAGAACATAACAATATCTCAATTAACCTTCACATATAATGATATTTAGAATTGAAAACTGTTAAATAGGAAGCACCACCAACAGATATTATGAAAACGTGGTCTAAGCAAGTTCCAAAGCTGTCAAAACAAACGATATGGCTGCTCTGATTTAGCGTATAAATACTGCGATTTACAAGTAAAACACTGTGGTGATTAGTAACATTTATGATGATGACATCTTTCAGAATAACCAGATCAAACAATCCTAACATTACTTAAAGACGAATACCAAATACATGGCAAAATGCCATTTGGTCACAATATAGATAAGCAGGTGTCGCTATCCAAAAATAATTTCCATGCAAATGTTATCTATATTTGGTATGTTCGGTATAATCAGATAACAAACACGATGACAGAGGAATAATACAATTTCTCGCCCATTTATTTCAGACATATTGTTATATTAACTGAGTACACATGCAGAAAAGATTTTTTGATATTTTTATTCACATTTTGACTCTGAAAAGAATCAAGTAAAAAATCAAGTTTCATTTAGTTTTTTCAGACTGCAGCATTACTCAATGCTATCGACGAAAACAACATAGGAAAAGTAAGAAGACTGCTGGATCAAGGAGCTGATCCAAACGAGGTAAATGCTGATACATATTATATTGATGGAATATCAGGATACAGGATATGGGGTTTTCAAGTCACCTGGACACGAATTTCAGACCTGCAAGTATTGCAGACACCTTGTCCAATTTACGAATATTTTTGTTGCTCCATTTTTTCTCTTATGGCTATTAAAATTATAATAAGCGTTTGAATAGCCTTTCTTTAGTCACGTCGGGTGAAATTGATGGAAACACCTCTTCAGTATCGAATTAGAAATGTAAATAGAGCGTTTTCATCGCGTGGTCGTTTTGAAAGCTATGATGCATATGAAAACCACGATGTCGGAAGTAAGCAACGGTGAGACGGTAAGTATATCAAAAAAAAAAAAAAAAAAAACGTTGTCCCCGTCATATTTATCAGTCGT